GTACCCTCATTTAAATATTACTTCCGCTTGCGTTTATTGATTTGGTTAAGAATTGGCCAGAGGTAACCTCAGTTATTGGCCATCACAATACTTAACCTTTGGGTACGGGGACCGGGTCGTGACAGTTAATATAGTATGTGTAGAAGAAACTAAGTAGATGGGTAAGAAAACTAGGGAAATTGAGGATATCAAGTTTAAACTATATTATAGTGGCAACGATAAACACATGAATAGGGTAGGAGTAATAGTTGCCAAGGGCCTTGTGGAAAATGTAGTGGCAATCATTAGGAAAGGTAATAAGATTATGTTAGTTAAACTAGTTATTGGAGGGAATATAGTGAACGTCTATGTAGTAGGGACACGGACACGACACGGACACGCAATTTTTCAAAAAATGAGGGACACGACACGCTAAGAACACGTTTAATATATATAATTTTATTTATTTATTATATGTCTAAAATAAAAAGAAAATCATTAATTCTTATACAATTACAATAATAATAAAATAAATAAACACATTTTTTAAATTTTTTTAATAAAAATGAGTTTTTTTAAATAAAAATAATTTATTTTATGAATTTTAGGTTTAACAAAAAAAAAATAAGGATAAAAAAAGAAAGAAGAAAAAAAGAGGGAGAGAGAGAAACAGGATCAAGAAAAAGAGAAAAAAAAATAAAAAAGAGAAACAATAAAGAGAAAGAGTGAAATCAAAAAGGCAGAGAGAGAGAGTCAGAAAAGGCAGAGACGAAAGGGAGGAGAAGAGGAAGAAAATGAAGAGAAGAAGAATAACAGAGAAGATGAAGAGAAGATGAAGAATACCACCTCAGCTTCTTCGATTGACAGGTTTGGCTTCTTCCTCTCCCTCAATCTCTTTCTCTCTTTCTTTGTCTCCTCTCCTCCCTCGATCTCTTTCTCTCTCTCTCTCTGTCTCCCTTGATCTCTCTCTCTCTCTCTTTCTCTGTCTCCTCTGCAACAGTTACGGTTTCTCTCTTTCTCTGTCCGGAAAGTGTCCAACTAGAGAGAGTGTCGGACACATGTCTACTGCGTATCCAACGCGTGTCCGTGTCCAACACGTGTCCGACACTCGTACGTAAGGTCTGGGGACGTGTCGATGCTTCATAGGTGAACGTTATTAGTGCATACGCCCCTTAAGTAGGATTAGATAATCAAACTAAGAGGAATTTTTTGGAGCAAATGGATGAGATCTTGTAGGAGTTACCCGTAGGAGAAAACCTAGTTATAGGTGGAGATTTCAAAGGCCATGTAGTTTCAAAGGCCATGTAGGAATAGACAAACTAGGTTATGAGAGGGTGCATGGTGGATATGGTTTTGGTGATAGAAATGAGGTTGGAGAGAGTATTTTAGATTTTGTATTGGCTTCTGACCTGGTGGTGGCCAATATTATGTATAAGAAGTGGGAGGAGCATTTGATAACCTTTAAGAGTGGGTCAGTTAATTGCCAAATAAATTACTTTTTAGCGAGGAAAGTGGACCGTCTAAAATGCAGTGACGGTAAGGTGATTCCTGGAGAGAGTCTAACGTCTCACCATAAGATTTTGATACTAAATTTATGCTTTAAAGGGCAATACCAAGCTAGGAAGGATAGTGGGCGTCATGGAACGAAATGGTGGGATCTAAAAGGGGATAAACTAGAAATATTTAAGAATAGAATGCATAAAGAAGGCACTTGGGACTTGGATGATGATGCTAATATTATGTGGAACTCGATGGCCAATTGTATGAGGAGAATCTCAAGGAAAGTTCTTGGAGAGTCGAAAGAAAAAGAACCCAACTCTAGGGAAACTTGGTGGTGGAGGGAAGAGGTTCAAGTGGTAGTTAAGGTAGAAAGGAGTGCTTGAAAAAGTGATAGAAATATAGAACTGAGAGAAACCTTAAGAGCTATAGATTGGATAATAAGGAGGTTAAAAAAGTAACAAGAGATGCTAAGTTGAAAGCTTATGATGACCTATACACTAGACTAAATAGTAAGAATGAAGAGGAGGGTATACAAACTTGTTAAGATAGGGGAGAGGAAAACAAGAGATTTTAATCAAGTTAAGTGAATCAAGAGTAAGGATTTTAAGGTTTTGGTGAAGGATGAAGAGATTAAGGAGAGGTGGAAGAGCTATTATGAGAAACTATTAAATGAGAAACATGGAGGTACGTTGATAGGGGAGGTAATAGCCAATAATAAGGAAAACCAACACTATAAGTTCTATCGCAAGATTAGGAACCTTAAAGTAGAGATTGCACTTAAGAAGATGAAATCGAATAAGGCTTTAGGACCAATGATATCCCTATTGAAGCTTGGAAGTATTTGGGTAAGAAGAGGGTTGCTTGGTTGACTAGGTTGTTTAGCAAGATTTTGTTGATTAGGAACATGCCAGATGAGTGGAGGAAGAGTATTTTAGTGTCAATTTATAAGAATAAAGGAGATGTCCATAATTGCAACAATTATAGAGGAATTAAGCTAATGTGTCATATAATGAAAGTGTGGGAGAAGGTGATAGAATGTTGATTGCAAGATATATCAAAGAATCAATTTGGGTTAATGCCTGGTAGATCAATAATGGAAACAATCTATCTTTTGAGGAGAGTAACAGAAAAGTATAGAGAAAAGAAAAGAGAAATTCATATGGTGTTTATTGATCTTGAGAAAGCATATGATAGAGTGACTTGGGATATAATCTGGTGAGTGTTAGAGAAGAAAGAGGTGGCAAAAGATTTCATTGATGTAATTAGGGACATGTATGAAAGGGTGCTGATCACTATTAGATTGCATGTTGGAGAGACAGAAGAATTTCTAATTATTGTAGGGTTACATCGAGAATCTACCTTAAATCCTTATCTTTTTGTTTTAGTTATGGATGAGTTGACGAGAAATATTTAGGATGATGTGCCATGGTGTATGCTTTTTGCAAATGATATCGTGTTAGTGGATGAGATTAGAGGAGTAAGATTTGGAGAGAAACACTTAAATATAAAACATTTCGGATAAACAAAATTAAGACAAAATATATGGAGTGTAAATTTAGTAACAATAGAAATGAAAGCAGTGGAGAAGTGAAGATTGAGAACCAAGAACTACTTAAGAGTGAACAATTTCGTTATTTAAGGCCGGTTATCACAACAGTGGGGGAGATTGATGCAAACGCGGTCCATAGAATTAAGGTAGGGTGATTTAAGTGGTGAAGTGCGTCTAAGGTACTGTGAAATAAATGAGCACCCACTAGACTAAAAGGAAAGTTCTATAGAACGACTATTAGACAAGCAATGTTGTATGGGACGGAGTGTTGGGCAACCAAGAAACAACATATAGATAAAATGAGTGTTACTGAAATGAGGATACTCAGATAAATGTGTGGCAAGACTAGAAAAGACAAAATTAGGAATGAATATATTCCGGAATGGGTAGGAGCAGCACCGATAGAAGATAAGTTGGGAAAATAGATTGAGATGGTTTGATCGTATTCAATGGAAACCAACAGAGACAGTAGTGAAGAGATGCGATGCAATGACAGTAGATGAAAGTGTTAAGGGACAGGGTAAGCTTAGATTGACATTGGCTAGCGTAGTAAATAGAGATATGAATTTACTTAATTTGACTAACGAAATGGCATTTGATAGAGCCGCGTAGAGAAAGAGGATTCATGTAGCCGATCCCATTTGATGGGACTTAAAGCTTGGTTTGGTTATAAAAAAAAATAAAAAATAAGCCTTATGTCAAAAGGAATTCTAATGGTTCTTATACGGAGAATGGAGTAATGGGGAAATTTTTATTTTAAAACATCATAATAAAACTATGATTTGAAATTATATAAGTTAGATAATATGCAATATTGGCTACTATAGCTGAATGTCACGGTCTTGGTTATTTCTAAGCACAAGCTTTACTTGATGATACTAAGTTAGCGTAACTCACAAACTTGCAAGAAAGACAAGTAACAAGACAAAGAGAGTTTGAGAAAATGCCTTTATATTCACTTTGAGAAAACTTGTACAATTCTTGGATGGATTGGAGCAAATAAGCCCCTCTCCTATTTGCAGGCTTCTTTGGAGCATTCTAGAATACACAAGAAAGTGGTACGTAGAAGCTTCCTATGGAAGCCTTCTTACAAGCTATAAGATCATTCTAGAATGCCTTCTAGAAATATCTATACAAATATCTACAAGTTTAGTCATATGTACAAGTGTGTATGTACTTGAATTCTCTAGGGTCTTCTAGAATTCTCTTTGGTCTCATATGTGCTAAAGTTTGCTAAGAAGTTCTACATTTTTCCATTGGCTCCCATTCTTCCAAGCTCCCATCTAGATATATTAGGAGAATTCAGTAGAGATGTGACATGAAGCTCTTATGGATAAAGCCTTATGGCCTTAATAGGATATCCAAATTGAGGGAACCTCTACAATTGCAATGAAGTTAGTGCCATTAAATTTTGTGCTCCTTAGTTGTAATATATATGTTAAGTATCTACAATATAGTATCACTTAAATATGTTAACATAAGCTTCGTGGATTCTCATTGCATTGTCATCCTTATTTTGACTTGTTTGTTATGTTTTGCCCTTATTTCATTCTGATGTAGACGTTACAATATGAGAAAAAGTAACAGCGTACACATACATAACAAGTCAAATATACATGAAGAGAAATAAACTGGGTTAATTTCATTTTATCCCCTAAACTATCACCATTTTTTTATTATTATTTATTTATATCTATAAACTATCAATTCCATCTATTTAATCCTAAAATTTCTTATTTCAGTTTAAGTAGTACAATTGGAGACAAAATTTGAACAACTTTAACCTATACTACCTAGTAATCATTTTTCTTACTATTTTGAAGAAACTGATTACATGAACTGAACTGAAATCAAAAAAATTATCCACTAAATAATTAAATTGATAGATTAAGTGACGAAATATAAAACAATTTGATAGTTTTAGGTGAGAAAAAAGTGAAATTAAAGCAAAAAAACAAGAAGAGGAACTTACACCAACATAAGCAGAATCCAAGTAGGAGACATTAATCTCAACAGAAACGCCAGTGAAGGGAGCACCCACTGTGTAAATAACAGCCGAACCCACTATGTCCACCAGGGTCGCCGTGGCACCGCCGTGCAAGAAATTCCCAGTGTTCTTCACATCACAGTTCAACAACCCATCAATCAATCAATCGATCAGGTAAAGACAACCCAGTTATTAGTTCCCGTAATAGATTTAGATTGAGAGAGAGAGAGAGAGAGAGAGAGAGAGAGAGAGATTGATTATCTAGAATAGCATACCAGTAAACGAGGAGGGACTATCATGGAGCAGATGAGTCGGCCTGGTTCGAGGAGATCGATAGAGAGGCCTTGCATGACGAAGGGCTCGAAGAATTTAGAGGGCATTTCATCGATTGTTGTTGCGTTTCGGCTTCCATCTCTCTCCAAGTATTTCTTCACTGACTCCAAATCCATTTCCTTCCCTGTTCTGTTTCTGTTCAAAGTCCAAATAATGTTTTGTTTGTTTTGTCCAGGGTGTAGCATTGCAAGTGCTAACCCCTTAAGTTCTGAGAGAACTTCTAACACCTGAGTCTCAAAGGCAGAGTTGCCTTGAGGAACAGGTGGGGGTTGTGGTTGTCGGTAGGGTTGTGAGGGTGAGAAAAGTTGTGGTGGTTGATAGAGACTCCTTGGCACGGTTGAAGTTTGTAACATTATTCTGGATGCCAAACTATTATCAATAATTCTAAATACACACATCAAATAAAATAAATCATTTTAACCGTACACATCAGGCAATAAAACCTACCATAAAAGAAACAGTTTTACTCATATTGCTCCATCTGTAGTTTTGTGACTCCCAATTCGTGGTCTTTTATGCAGCAATCATTCCATATCAAATGGCATCATCTGAGTCAGTCTCATCAAACCTCCAAACCAAAGGAGTTGTATTTTGCATTGGTTGTTTCGTACAAATCAGATTCTTTTAGTTGAATACATGGTGAAGAATACTTTATTGGGTCCAAATAATTAAAAATATATAATTATGTAGCTAAAAACTACTGGAGGAGGAGGCTCACATTTTACTGGAGACAGCAAGGTACTTGGTATGGCGGCCTTGAGCAATAATTTTCCCGGTCTTTTTCTTTCTCAGCTCAACACTGACAACAGCAATAGCCTTTCCAACACGCAAAACCTTGCTTTCTATCTCGATTTCCTCCTGAACAAAACAACACCACACAAGTTTTACGTGATTTAAGAGATGCAAATATTGTTGGTCTCACCAAAGACTTCAATAGAGAGAGAGGGAGGGGGGACAGCCAAAGCCAAGACCAACCGGCTTTAAACAATATAAAGAAACAAGTTTTCGACACATCAGAACCTTTCAACTTGGGGAGGAACAAAATATGACCTGATCACGAACAAAATCCCATGCATACACATCTAAATTTTGATAGACCACCTGATCAGCAAGGAAATCTCACACAGGGTAGCAATCAGCCGTACAAGCAAATAGACATATTTAACCAGAGTATAAATCACAAGGTGGGGAAAACCTTAAATAACTCCAACACATGTATATTTATTATTTATTTTTATATACACAAATATATGGATATAGATATATACTCAGCTCAACAAGCTTTTATCCTCAATCTTGGGGTCAGCTACATGGATTCATTTCCTTTAATTGGCTCTATTTGCAGACATCTTCTTAAGTTTAAGATATCCATGTCATTTCTTATCACCACAGCCCAAGTTTTTACCTCTTTCTCTAACCACCTTTCACGTGGATCAAATTACTCCTTATAGGCGCATCAATTAGTCTATGATGCAATATATAGATAGATAGATAGATAGAGAACCAAATAAGCAACAGTCATTATTCACCCTCTACAATATAACATACAGAGTTTGAACAGAATGCTTCATTTGCTGTAGAAGTACACAAAATGGAAAATTATAACTTTAAACAACAATGATGGCAAGCTTCCAAGCAGTACTAGGATAATATCAATTGTTTGGAGTGTGTGAAGTGATTAGCAGCTTAGAACTCAACCACAAGACAAAGAAAGCCAGAGCATTTGGCTCCTACAACCAAATGGAGACTAAAGGCCACTAAAAGTGTTGATCCCACCTATATGAAATTCTTTGACGGGTGGACTAGTTACAAAATATATAACGACTACAAAAAAAATTAAAACAGCTTCAAGCCTTACAATTTATGAAGGTCCAGAATTTCCACCCTTAAGTCTGGCCAATCCAAGTCCATCACATTTTATACTTGTGAATTGAATGATTTGTACCAAACTAAATATAACCAATCATTTGTATATATTGCATAAATTTACATTTTAGAAAGCCTCTAGTCAAGACATTAACTTTGGTACCATGATGGTTTTGTTCCCTTTTCCAAGTGATTGAAAATCCAAATTTTGTAGCAGAGTCCTCAGAATTAGGTGGCATAACAAGATGAAAAAAGCACACTCCCATGACTCAAGGAAGAATAAAACAAGTGTGTTCCACGATAACCAATATATTAGTGAAATGAGATGTCTCAAAGACTTGCTATCTAGAGCTAGTAAAGAGACCTCAATGAAGTCAATTAGTTTGCTATTTCACAACATGTAAGTGGTGTTTCATCCTAAAAGGATTTAAAGAAAAACTGAGTTAGATCAGAAGAATTTTCTTTCGGTGAGAAACAATTCCGCAGTGGGGCCCTCCCAGTTGTAACATATTATCCCAAAAGGTATCAGCAACAGAAACAACATATTTATAAGAAGTTGCTAAATGACAACATGGGCCTGGATGTCAAACTTGGGAAACAATAGCCCTGTTAGTTATGTTTTCGTTTTATGTTTTTGGACAAAACAAAACAACAAAAAGTTCACAAACACCCACCATTTTTATATCATGTTCATTTTTGTGCATAAGCAATTTTCAAAAATTCAAAAACAATTATTTATTGTTTTCTAAAGAGTGAGTTGCTTTATAAAAAATTTAAAAAAAAAAAAAAAAAGTGAAAACTATTTTTGGAAACGATTCACCATATAATTGAAAAAATTTTATGTCTCTCCGTTAGACTCATCCCTAGAAATGGGAAATGGTGAACATATCCACCATTTTAAGGCCATGTTTGTTAGGATGGACTGGATTAGATTGGACTAGAATGTCTAAGACTAGACCTAAGATTATCATCAATCCTTTCGGATTGTGAATCATATCTCATGTTTGGATTGACTTAGGATTATGAGAAGTGATTAACAAAATTCAATCAATTTTGTCTAAACTTCTCCTTAATCCTCCATTTTGTATCTTGTCCCCTCTTGGAATTCAATAGTCCTTATATGGGGGATACTATGTCCAGATAGACTATTAATCTGGACTCCAATTTTCTGTATCAAACATCGGATTATGCATTTTGTGGGATTATTAATTCAACCCTAAGATCATGTCCGTCCAAACAAACATGGCCTAATGGTTGATAACTAGGTTGTGTTGAATCAATATCCAATCATATCTTTAAAATTTATGGCAGAAAACAAACCTGAATTAAGATGCAGATACTTTAATTGAAAAAAAAAAAAAAAAAAAAAAGAAAAAGATAAGAGGAAAACCTAAGACAGATCCTTCAATTGATAAAATATGGGAATTTCTAGCGAAAAGAGAACAAAATAAAAATAAAATATGATTTAGCAGGCAAGCCAGGTACAAATAGGTAACTTGACCACTTATCATAGTCCTAATGTTGTCCATACTCTGTTCAGTGATGATATAAGGTTTGTTTGTAAAAGCGATACAAATTAAAACTTAGGTTAATACTTAAGCTTTCAGTGAAACATCTTATGCAAAAAGAGCCAGGAATCCGCATCTATGATTAGATCAATGAAGTATATTAGACATAATTGTCCTGTCTAATATAACTACTTAGAGAGTTGAAAGAAAGGGATGATCTGTTTCAAGTTTTGGAAACCAGAAACCATACTCTTATAGCACTATGGAATAACTGGACGAAGTTAGTAAAAAGATCTAACAACAAGAACAACTCCATCTTTGATTATAAAATATTCTACGCCATTATAGTAAAATATTCAATCCTGAACAACCAACACGTAAAAAAACCGCTCGAATCCCTTATGACAATGAATCATATTTTGAATCGATTAAATGGTAGGTCGTTCCCCTCGAGTGACGCGTTGCGCCTACCTCCGGGTGTTTTGAAAAGTGAGTAAGGGGCGCCACATCGATGCCTGGGCGCGGTGAAAAATGGACAAAGGTTTCTGCGTTTTTCTGGACGAGCACGAGTAAAGAAGCTAGTCCAAGACTATAGGTTTAGGATAGCCACGTGGAATATAGGAACTTTAATTGGTAAGACTATGGAATTGGTAAATGTTATGATTAGGAGGAGAGTTAGTGTAACAACCCAGATTTTTAATTATTCTGTACAATTTATACTAATATTATTTAATCTCAGTTCGGAAAATATATAATTTATTATATATTATTATGCATAATTTTGTAAAATAATATAATTATAGGGGTCAAAATATAAATAAATAATTAATTTTATGTCAGTATACGATAGAATGTAATTTAATTAGGAATTAATTTATTTATATAATTATATTAAAATATTGGGTCAAATAGTAATAATCTTAAATATCTATTAAGGAAAAGAACGAATCTGTGAAATTATTATTGAATCTACCACGTATGCGCCTTATTCCCTATAAATGGGGAGGCGCTGATCTGGGCCGAAAAAAGAAGAAAGGAAAAAGAAAAGGAAGAGAAAGAAAGAAAAGAAAGAGAGAGAGGAAGAAGGAAAGAATAATGGAAGGTAAAAGAGTCTTTGACAGTAGAAAAAAAAAAGTAAGGAATTAAAGTTAAGGTGAGTTATATTATATCTTGAATTACCAAAATATATTTTACTTATGTTTTGACTTACCATATTTATTTTATACAAGTTATGTTTTATAAGTTATTATAAACTATATAAATATTTTAGTTACATGGTTTAATTTCTGAACCCTATTTGTTAAAAGGAAACCCATGGATATGTTTGTTTTACTTTTAAAGAATATTTGACTATGACTTTATAAACAATTATGTTTTGTAAGTACCACCACGGGAGTCCCACGCCTTGGGGGATTTAAATAATCATTGGCCTCTGTTTAACCACTTTGTGGTCCTCTGTTTGTCATGGATCCATTGACGCTAGTTCTGTGCGGAGCTAAATGCTACACTATTGTGGGAGCCACCTCTAGAATCCGTACCTGTGTTCTATGCGGAGCTAAGTGCTACACTGTTGTGGGAGCCACCTCTAGAATCTGTACGAGCCACCTCTTGAATCTGTACCTCTGTTCTGACTGCCACTTCTGTGACCTCTGTTCTGTTCTGTTCAGTACCGTGGTTATGTTTATATACTTACATAAATTCTGTATTTCAGTTTTGATACTTAAAGGATTATTTAATGATTTGTTTACCAAATTGAGTTATGTAAATGTTTTGGCCTAATTAACTATCCATGGTTAT